ACTTAGACTCCAGAGTGAAGATATCATTACTAATAGCCAGCAGCTGTTACACACTCACTGTGTGCTTGGTACTGGCGTCACTCAGTCTGACTCCTGAGCTCTTACCACTGCGCTACTCTGCCTCTCTGAAGTGAGATGGAAATAGAGCAGTAAAGGGTCTTTTTTGATACTTTTTAAGAATATTTGACTCAAACCAGTGCTAGGGGAAACAGAAGGGGAAGAGGTGGCATGGGAGAAGTGCTACAGGAGTTACACAAAAGCCAGTGATTCTCTCTGAGTGATGGGATTAGGAATACTGTTTCCTCTTGGTGTTCTGTATGGTCCAAATTTCTTATTGCTGGGGTACTTATTACTTTATAGTTTGGGAGAGAAAGGGATAAAAAATTCTACCATGAGATAAAGCCCAATTTTAAGCTAAGTTTTGAACAAGCTATAAAACTAATTATTATGATTTGAGCAGTTTCCCCAAATTGTATGTACCATTTCTTCAAGCCTCAAATGAAGCTGCTTCATCTTGGGCCTCCCAGGTGCTGGAAGGAGCCCAGCCTATTGATCGAGGGGTGGTAGAGTAGACTATGGAGCTGGTTCTGCTCATAGCTTGGATACTTACCTGCTGAGAGACATCAACCTGCTACCTAATCTCAGCTTCGTTTTCTTCTTCTGTCAGCTGGGTATAATAAGAGCCTGCCCTCCTTCCCTTATTAGGTGGCAAAAAATTAATGATATTAGTGTGTGTGAAAGTAATGGCCCCACCCCTTGGTGGAAGGAGTCTTGGAGGCAGCCAGGATTCTATATTGTTCCCTGGGGCATGGCAAAGCCTGTGGCTTCACGTGCAAACTTCATTGCCTGATTTCTTGGGGGAGCTGATCTTGGGGACCAGCAAATTCCACTGCACCCCTCAGGTCACCCAGAGGGTCCCATCCTCCAGGAGAGTCTAGTCATAGAAACTGAGGAACATCTGGTTTTCTTCTATAGTTTTTTAGTTGTTGTTCTATGCTTGAGTCCTGTGTCTTCATGTTTCACGCTGCTTTCAAGGAGCATCATACCATTCCCTGTGTAAGACTTTCAGCAATGGGTCTCCATCTCCCCCTGCCTATCCTCTGCCCCACAGTCCCATAAGCTTTACTTTTGCATATGGAGGAGACATCACAAAGCGTTTCTCTTCTTTTTGCCTTCAGTTCATATAGTTCTCATTCCTGTATATTGAAGTCCATGAATCTTCTGTGTCTAATGTGTTCATCCCATACAGTGAAATTTTTACTTCACGTATTGTAATTTCATCTTTAGACATACCACAGTTTTTTCTTATCTTTCATATCTCTCCTTGTTATGTCCATGTTTTCCTTTAATTTCTCAAAAATATTTAAATAGGCGCTTTCAAATTCAAATTCCCTTTTTTTTTTTAAGATTTATTTATTTATTTATACAAGCACTGGGTACATACAGTCAGAAGCGCGGGAGGGTGAGAGAATTCACCGAGCCAGAGAAGGGAGCAGAGCAGGCAGAAGGACTGAAGTACGAAAAAAAAAAAAAAAAAGAAGAAGGACCGAAGTACACTGCTGAGGGGAGCAGTGGGTGGCAGGAGAGGTCTGCGCGCCATGTGGGACCCTCCTCCTGTGGCCGGGGAGCAGCCTGGGATCGAACCAGCGCTGCAGAGGCTGCGGGCAGCTTCGCAACCCAGCGCTCAACCGCTGTGCCACCAGGGAGGCCCTCAAATTCCTTTTTTTTTTTAAAGATTTATTTATTTATTTATACAAGAACTGGGGGAACAGACCAGATACGCGGGAGGGTGAGAGGATTCACCAGAGACAGAGCGGGGAACAGAACAGGCAGACTGACAAAATACACAGCTGAGGGGAGCAGCAGGTGACAGGAGAGGTCTGCCGCGCCATGTGGGATTCTCGCCGGCCATCTGGGATTGAACCAGCACTTCAGAGGCTGCGGACAGCTTCACAATGCTGCGCTCAACTGCCTGTGCCACCAGGGGAGCCCCTCTTTTATTTTTTTAAAGATTTATTTATTTATGCATGAAAGAGCTAGGGTACTGGCCAGAGATGCAGTAGGGTAAGAGGATCCACCAGAGACAGAGTGGGGAACAGAACAGGCAGATTGACTGAAGTACACTGCTGAGGGGAGCAGCGGGCAAGACAGGAGAGGTCTGCCTCTCCATGTGGGTTTCTCTCTGCCTGGCCAGGGATCAAACTCGTGCTGCAGGGGCTGTGGATTGCTCCATAGTGCGGTGATTAACCCCTTGCACCACCAGGGAGGCCCGCTTTCAAATTCTTATGTGTTCATCCCATCTCCTCTGTTGGTCCCGAATCTGCGGCCATGGACCGGCTATTCTGGTTGCGGGTCATGCTCTCCCGCCTGTTTGCATACATGTGCAGGAAGTTTTTCTTGGATGCCAGAAATTATAAATATTAAATTGTTAAGCGTCTGGATTTTGTTGTCCTCATTTAAAGAATGTTGGCCTTTATTCTTTCAGTGGGATTTTTTTTTTAAGTTTATTTTAAACTCTGATGGGGTAAGTTGAGTTTAGTCTTACTAGCAAAGCATGAGGGGTCTCTGCAGAGTGCCCTACGGTTCAGCAAGGACTGTCCACTCTGGCTGTTTGGAATGTGAACATTTCCCAGCCTTCAGTGAGCTTTGGGAAGCGTTCAACTTACAAGCTTCCTGATTTCTCCCTCCTTTTGGGGCTTGTGAAGCCTCATTCTGTTCAGTCAAGGATTCAAGGGCATCTCTGAGTCAGTCAGTCTCTCTCTCTCATGTGTTTGCGTGTGTGTTTGTGTGTGTGTAGTTTTCGCTCTCATTCCACTTCTCAGATCCCAGCCACCTCAGCCTTCCCAAACTCGGATCTCCCCAGCTCAGGAAGACACCCCCCACACACACACCCGCTGTGTTCTCTCTCCCTCCTGCCCTTGGGCTGGTAAACACCTTCAGGCAGTAAAACCCAGGACTTGCCACTTTCATTTCCATTCTCTCTGGGATTACAGTCCTGCTGTCTTTTCTCCAGGGTCTGAAAGTGCTTGTCTCCTGTACTTTGTCCAATTTTCTGGTTGTTTGCAATGGGAACCAGCAATTCCCTGCAGGATCCTTCCAGGGTAGTACACCTGTGGTGTGGACTAGGTGTGGCCTCCTTCAAGGGACTTATAAAAAATGGGCTTAGAGTGGACGGGGTCATGCTGATATGCTTCTTAGAGAATGTTAAGATCCACAACCCAGCCCTACATCTGTTGACAAGAGGAGTCATTAGTGTCCATCACCTGACTTATGGGTAGAAGAAAAGTGGCACATCCATGCAATGGAATGTCATTTGTCAGTAGGAAGGGATGAAGCACTAATTCATGTTAAACACAAATGAACCTTACAGTGAGCATGCTAAGGGAAATAAACCAGTCACAAAGGACCACCTATGGGATGGTTCCATTTATATGAAATGTCCAGAACAGGCAACTTTATAAAAACAGAATGTAAATTAGTAGTTATTTACTGCTGGGGTGAGAGATACTAATGTGCTATAATGGGTACAGGGGCTGGGGGTGGGGGAGGGAGACAAAATGTTCTAAAACTAAATTATGATCTTTGCCCAACTTAGTAATTATACTAAGAAACACTGAATTTCCACTCTAAATGGATAAGTTGTATGGTGTGTGAATTATATCTCAATAAAACTGTCTTTAAAAAAATAATTGCAATTTTCTTCTGCTCTAAGGGAATGGAAAGGGGCGGTGGTGAAGTGGAGGAGAGGTCTCAGCTGTTGTATTGCTAAATGAACATAGTACAAGTAATATTCAATCTGGGGCTGAAAATGTGACCGCAAAATTGTTTACGCAGTTATTGGGGGATGACTAATGTTGGATGTTAGTCTTAAAACCCATTCTCTCAGTCTTTCTTAATTAGTTCTACTATAAGAGGGCTCTTGCAGAGTTCCCATTTATCCCTTTTCTAGCTTACACTCCTTTCCAGATCTTGTCAGCAATGACCATTTATTGAGTGCCCGTCACCTGCAGGGAGAAGGGACCTTAGGGCGTGTCTAACCTTAACCTGAGCTCAGAGGCACCTGAGAAAGTGACCTCTGCCAACTGTGAGGTCTCCTTTGTGTCCTCTGTGTCACTGATGAGAGCCACCAGAAAAAGGGTGACATGGTAGTCAAGTCCAAGCCCAGGTTGAAAGATCAGGCAGACGTCTTCTGTTGATGTTTATGTTGTCAAAGATGAAGTTGATTTATTTTAAATAAGTTGTCCAGCCTTCTTTAAAATCACTGAGTTTTGGGGCCTCCCTGGTGGCCTAGGGGTTAAGTCTCAGTGCTACCACCATGAGGGCCCACCACAAATGCCTGAGTTTGAATCCCCCTCCAGGGAGCTACCCACATGGCACAGCAGACCTTTCCTGTTTCTCCAACTGCTCCCCTTAGCAGTGTTCTTCAGTCAATCTGCCTGTTCTGCTCCCCACTCTGTCTCTGGTAAATCCTCTTACCCCACCTCCACACCTCTGGCCTGCACCCCAGTTCTTCTATGCTAAAATAAATAAATAAAGTCTTAAAATAAAAACAAAAACCACTGAGTTTTCTGTGAATGAAAATCCACTTGTAGGCCTCTTGCAGGAGCCTTCAGCAATGTACCCCTGGCTGCATATTTTAGCAGAGGCCCTGAGCTTTGCTTCATCATATTAATAGCTAACATTTATTGAATACTTGGGGTGCCCCTTGTGTTCTGTGGGCTTTCAGCACCTTGTTGACTGATATTTCTTTCACTCTAGAAGTAATATAAAAAGGCTGCATTGCTATTTCCCAACTTTCTGTTCTTCAGATGTGTTTTTGGTAGTTCAGGTAGATTCTCCCTTCAGATGTTATGATGTTAATGCCACAGCTCAGTAATTGATCATCCTAAACTGGACCTAGCCCTCAGCTAGCTAAACTAAAAGGTTGGCCCTGGGGGCTTCTCCCACCCGACTCCCTTGGACAAATGCACTTACCAGCTGTGGTATGTGGTTTTCTCTAGAATCATCCACGAAGATGGTTTCTCTGGAGAAGACGTGAAACAGTACAAGCCTGTGGTCTACAGCAACACCATCCAGTCCCTGGCAGCCATCGTCCGGGCCATGGACACTTTGGGCATCGAATATGGTGACAAGGAGAGAAAGGTAGGCCGCTGAGCCCAGGGAGAACCTGTGTCCTTTTGACAATGCCATGCTGCCCTATGGGAAGGCCAGCAGCCACCTGGCCTGCACACCAGCCAAGCTGGCAGACACAGTCAAACAGGGCTCCTGTTGGGGGCAGACCGCCATGGCAGAGTCGCCAACAAAGCAACAGCCACAGAATTGCAGGGTTTATTCTGCGGATGAGAAAGGGCTGGTGAGTGTTGTAGAGCGGGCCTCCCACATGCTACACAAACCCTGCCTGTGCCTGTCTCCCCGCCCTAGGAGAGCTCTCCTTGCTTTGTTGGGCGCGGGGGCAGCCATCAGAAGGGACTCTTCCTGCCCTACCCCACGGGGTGTGTTTTCTGTGGGTCTGAGTGCCTCAGGGCCCTCCTTTCTGTGGGAAGTTGACATCCCAGGACAGGGACTGTTTTTCAATTGAGTTGCCAGGTGTCTGCTAAGTGGTGAATGGAGTAAGTATATAAAAGCCTTTTATTTGCAAACAATTGCATTAACTCTGAGACGGAACTATATACAGCTACGCTGGCTGTATATAGTTAAATAAAACTAAATAAAAGGGAGGAAGGCAGAGAGGCAAACAGTCTCAGAATTCTTTCGAAAGTGGCTCTCTGTCCCCAGTGGGATTCTGCATTCCAGAGACCTACCCCTGGGTCCTGGATCCTGGAGAAGGGCAGTAGGCAGAGGCCACCGGGCACCAGGTCCCTGCATGGGAGGCTCGGGGTGGGCACATCCTCTCTGGTTATGTGTGATTCCACTGTGGTTCTAGATGCATCCTGTCAGCTACAGATCAGCTCCCTACAGAGGAAAACTATCCTTGCCTGCTCTGGGTCTTATAAATCACCCATGACAGATAGCTCTAAATGTAAAATTCAGTATTTTATGCACAAAATCCTACTTTCATGGGGGCAAAGTTGGCCCCACTAAGATACTGGCTCCTGCGGGTATTGGGGAATCAGAGGCTCAGTGTGTGTCAGAGGCCAGCCTGGGGGGTGGGGAGGAAGCCGGGTGCCACCAGAGGACTGGGGCGCCTGCCGCTGCTCCCCTGGGAAGCCTAGTCTGTCCTGGTTCTACAGAGGAGGCGCTTCTCCCCCAGGAGCGGGCGAAGCCTCTTTGGTTTTTGTCATAGAGTCAGAGTGTGTGGCAAAAAGGGGGGCGTGGCTAGTTCTTCAGTCTTGCTTCCATGAAGCACTCACTAAGGGCTTCCGGTGTCAGGGGCCTGGTGCTGCCCCTGTGACTGGGGATACTGGAGTAAGCACAGTGGGAGGGAGCAGTGCCTGGAGAAACCAACCAACCAGTCAGCAAATATCTGCTCAGGTCCTCAGAACTAGCCAAGATGGTTGCTGTGTGTCTTTCATTTCCATAGTAATGACCACTCTGTCGTTTATGGATCTGCCAGCCATGGCGAAAAGCACTCATTAACTCATTTCACTTAACTTAGGCATCAAAGCCAGAGCAAGACATGTCTGTTCTGATTTCAGACATGGGGCCTCCCACAGGCCTTTGGTCCCTCTCACTCCCTTTGGCCAAGGAAGGAGCATGGGGCCAGAGTCTCATGTAACAGATGGCAGATGCTGGGCGAAAGGCTTCATGTACGCCTGCTACGTGCGTGTGCACGCACGCACACACACACACCACAGACACACATGCCACAGACACTCACAGGTGTTCCACAGCATCTTCCAAGAGTGTGTATCCACTGCCATGCTCACCTGTTTCAACCACCTAACCTCCTTTCCAAAGTCCCCCTGCCCTGATTACAGCCCAGAAAAGCCAGTGAGACTTTGGAATGCTTTTCTCCTTCAGTTTTAGAAACATGATTTCTTCCTGTGGAACTTTTTTCATGTTCTTATCCTGAATAGTGAGGCAATTGCTCGGGAACTGAGTAGGAGATAGTAAGGACTTCACTGTGGGGCCCTGGAGCCTCTGACTGTCTGTCCTCTGTGGGATTTCCCGGTCTAATCAGCACTTGAGTGGAAGGTTGGGGAAGGCTCCACTGGAAAGGGAAACTAAGAGCAGGGTGGGGGTCCCTGGGGCATCCACCAAGAACCACAGAGTCAGAGCCCAGCCCTGTGGTGACAGGTGGCTGAGGTGTACAGGGCACACAGGCTGGCCAGGCACAATCTACCTGACTGGCAAAGCCTTCCATTTGTTATAGGACAGGGAGAGGGGCAGCCCAAAACCCCGCAAACCTGCCTATTCTAAATGGGTTCTGCCATCCGCCGCATCAACACAAAACATAGGAGACTTTAATGGAAAGGAACTTTAATAAAAGCTCCACCCTCCCTTGGGTGGGGCAGGGAACCGCCCCCTTTCCTGGGGACCACCCTGTTGCACATTCACTCAGGCTCCTTCTCCCATGTTAGTTCACCTGTGAGGAGCAGGAAAGGAAAACTGACCCAAGATCCAGGCCAAAGTGACCCAGGCAGCCGGCACACCTATTTCCTGGGAGCAGCTTGCCTGGATTTGCAGACTGGGGAGCTGAGCTCGTGTACCCTATGCAGGAGAGAAGTGTTGTCAGTTTTCTCCCCATTGATGGGATAGACACAGGCCCAAAGGGCTACTTGTGTGGGGAGCAGCTCAGAACCAAGGACACCCTCACTTCAGTCCTTTCTTGTCCCTGTGCTCAGCAAACCTTCTGCCTAGAGGTATAGAAAGCAAGCAAGTCAACAAACAGGTGACTGCAGTCTCAACAATGGTCAACCTGTGAAGCAGGGTGGAGTGACAGACTGATCTGCAGGGCAGGGGGCTGGGGCTGCTACTTTGGGCCCGTAGCCCGGGAAAGATTCCCCTGAACCTGGAAGGGATGTTTGTGATAAAACTTAACCATGAAAAGAAGCCAGCCACGGGAGTGTGAAGGGACAGAGGCACCAGCATACTCCAAGGCCCTGATCAGTGCAGGAGTGAGACCAGAGAAAACCTTCAGTCTGAACTGTACCCTGCGGGGAAGGCTGGGGCCCAGGGCTCATAGCACTCTCCAATTAGCTCTACCTACAGCTGGCCAACTGTCGGTGACCAGGTGCCCTGTCCCCAGGGCTGGGTCTCCAGACTCTTCCTCTCTCTGCTCATCTCCCCAAGTTGCTCAGAGCTGCTCGATCCCAGGCCTGCAAGGCTTCCCTTCTCTAATCTTCCCCGTCTCTCCCCCCACCTCCTCTCTGCAAATTATTAGGTGTTCCCTCTCTTCCCCTCCCTCTTTTCCTTTCTCCATCTGTTCCCTTTCCCTCCAACTCTCCCTCTCCTCCTCCTCCCTCTGTCCCCCTCTCTCTCACCCCTCCCTTCCTTCCTCCTCACCCTCCAGCACATTATCATGTAAATTGTCTTAACCTTTTGAGCTAAGTCTCCCGCTCCTTCCTCAGTCCTCTGCCCAGAGCCTTCATCTGCATCACAAAAGCAGAGAAACTTGTTGAACAGAACTGGCCTAAACTCAGAGGCAGGATGAAAAGATTGGGGAAAGTGGACAATTACAGGATTAGAGCATTCACTGGACCAGCTGGGGGGTGGGGAAGGTCTATGAACAGTCCCATGTTAGTGAATTTTATCACACACGTATATAAAAAAGGTGTGTGCTTTTCCGTGTATACACGTGCATAAGCAAAATATATTTTAAACCAGCGGGGAATAGCAAAGAAGTAATGTTTGAATATGTGTGAGGCTTTGTTCAGCTGTAAATGTAACAGGGTGGTCCCCAGGAAAGGGGGAGGTTCCAGGTTCCCTGCCCCACCCAAATGGAGGGTGGAGCTGAGCAGGGAGAGAAGAAGCTGCAGAGGAGACTGAGGAAGGAAGCAGGATGATGCCAGGAGACCTGGAGGAGGCACATGGGGCCTAGAGACACGTGAAGAAACTGTGCTTGTCTTTTGGTCGTGGACTGGGTGACACAGATGTGGGTGAGACCCATGGGGAGGTGACAGTGGCAGCTTTTATCTTGATTTTGATTTTGCTCTTTTCCTTCCGGGCTTTTCTGGTTGTCTCTGACCCTTTTCTGTGGGTCCCCACTGGAAGATGCTTTGGACTTATGGCAGGCTTTGGGGCCTTGCTCTGGGCCAATCCCATTGGGTGGATTTTTACCCACAAAGGGACGGGTAACTTTGGGTGCTTGATTTAGAAACTATATTCTTTGCCTTACCTGTATTGTTTCCTAATTGTATTAAAGTTCCTTCCCATTAAAGTCTCCTATGTTTTGTGTTGATGCGGCGGATGGCAGAACCCATTTGGAGCAGGCAGGTTTTGGGGGGATCTGGAGTGCACCTCTCCCTGCCCTGTAACATAAATACTCTCACTTTCTTTTGTTATCCTGCTCATATGCCTGTTTCTTGCCCTAAATCATAAACTCCTTGAGGACATGTTATAGGGGAACCCCATTGTGAAATAGATTGGCCTGACTGTAGGTCCTCACCTGTGTGTTTAAAAGGGACTTATAAATGAGACTCAACCACAGGTACACCCCCAAAAAAAGGTTATTAAAGAGTTGATTTTTAAAGAGGGGGGATGAAGAAAGGAATGACTCAGGGAGAAAGAGAGGTAAATGGTGAAAACATCCTACCAGTTCCGCTGAGCTGGGACCCCAATAACACACTGAAAGCTGGCGAAGAACTGAGGGAACCCCACCACCACCACCACACAAGGCCCACATGTCTGCTTATATACCAAGCGTGGCTACTTTACTCCATTCTCAGTTCCCAGCAACCTTCCCTTTGGTGGTGATGACATTATGGGGTTTGCAGTTGTTGGTGGCTTGGATCTCTTTGCCTGGGGTAGGGTGGGGTCCATAATACCTGAGTTTGTTTGTGGAGTTCCTTCAGGATATCCTCTCCCCACCCCCACCCCCACCCCCGAGCATCCAGTTCAGTGCCTGACACAGGACGTGTTCGGTATGGGTTCAAATCCTACTGACCACCAGCCCAAAGACCCTGGGTGAATTATTTAACCTCGCCAGCCCTCAGTGTGAGGAAGTAATACCTATAAAGCACCTAGGATGGTGCCCAGCATAG